AGATGATCGTGGACTTCAGGAAACAGCAGAGGGTGCACCCCCCTATCCACATCGACGGGACCGCAGTGGAGAAGGTGGAAAGCTTCAAGTTCCCTGGCGTACACATCACTGACAAACTGAAATGATCCACCCACGCAGACAGTGTGGTGAAGTAGGCGCAACAGAGCCTCTGCAACCTCAGGAGGCTGAAGAAATTTGGCCTGGCACCTAAAACCCTCACAAACTTTTACAGATGCACAATTGAGAGCATCCTGTCGGGCTGTATCACCGCCTGGTACAGCAACTGCACCGCCCGCAACCACAGGGCTCTCCAGAGGGTGGTGCGGTCTGCCGAACGCATTACCGGGGGAAAACTACTCGCCCTCCAAGACACCTACAGCACCCAATGTCACAGGAAGGCCAAAAAGATAATCAAGGACATCAACCACCCGAGCCACTGCCTGTTCACCCCGCTATCATCCAGAAGGCGAGGTCAGTACAAGTGCATCAAAGCTGGGACCGAGAGAATGAAAAACAGCTTCTATCTCAAGGCCATCAGACTGTTAAATAGCCATTTTACATTTACATTTTATTCATTTAGCAGACGCTCTTATCCAGAGCAAATTACAGTGCATACATTTTCATACTGGCCCCCCGTGGGAATCAAACCCACAACCCTGGCGTTGCAAACACCATGCTCTACCAACTGAGCTACAGAGGGCTTCACTAGCACATTAGAGGCTGCTGCTGCCTATTGAAATCACTGGCCACTTTAAGAAATGGAACCCTCATTAAAATGCAAATCAATTCATAACATTTTTGACATGCGTTTTTCTGGATTTTGTTGTTGTTATTCTGTCTCTCACTGTTCAAATAAACCTACCATTAAAATTATAGACTGATCATGTCTTTGTCAGTGGGCAAACGTACAAAATCAGCAGGGGATCAAATACTTTTTTCCCTCACTGTATGTTGTGAAATTGGTGGCCATCTAGATATTACTTGTTAGATATTACTGCACTGTCGGAGCTAGAAGCACAAGCATTTCGCTACACCCGCAATAACATCTACTAAACACGTGTATGTGACAAATACAATTAGATTTGATTTGATTTGTCCAGATGGGATAGAGCAGTGTGCAGTGCCAATAGCGATTGCATTATCTGTGGATCTATTGGGGCGGTATGCGAATTGCAGTGGGTCTAGGGTGTCTGGTAAGCTTAAGGTGAATTGATCCTTAACTAGCCTCTCAAAGCACTTCATGATGACAGAATTGAGTGCTACGGGATAATAGTCATTTCGTTCAGTTACCTTCGCTTTCTTGGGTACAGGAACAATCTTGAATCAAGTGGGGACAGCAGACTGGGATAGGGAGAGATTGAATATGTCCGTAAACACTCCAGCCAGCTGGTCTGCGCATGCTCTGAGGACGCAGCTAGGGATGCGGTCTGGGCCGGCAGCCTTGCGAGGGTTAACCCGCTTAAATGTTTTACTCACATCGGCCACAGAGAACGAGAGCTCACAGTGCTCAGGAGCGGCCCGTGTCGGCAGCACTGTGTTATCCTCAAAGCGGGCAAAGAAGGTGTTTAGCTTGTCCAGGAGCAAGACGTCGGTGTCCGCAACGTGGCTGGTTTTTCCTTTATAATCCGTGGTTGTCTGGAGTCCCTAATACATACTTCTCGTGTCTGAGCCATTGAATTGTGACTCCACTTTGTCTCTGTACTGACGGTTTGCCTGTTCGATTGCCTTACGGAGGATATAACTGGACTATTTGTATTTGTCACGGTTTCGGCCGAGGCTGCTCCTCTTCCTTGTTCGGGCAGGCTTCGGCGGTCGTCGTCCCCGGAGTACTAGCTGCCACCGTTGTATGTTATCGATGTTGGTTTGGTTTTGTCTTAGTTGTACACCTGTTTCCGTTTAGTTAATTATGTGTCCTATAAGTTCTCGTTTTGTTAGTCGTGTGTTGTGTGTAATTGTCCGCCTGTCAGCAGGTGCTGTATTGTTTTGCTCCATTGTTTTGGAGAGTTTTCGCACTTGTGTGCGCACTTATTTGTATTTTGGTGTTTATGCGCGGTGTGCGTAATCGCTCGCCTCCGGGCTCTTTTGATGCCCGTTTGTTATTTCTTGGTCGTCTACTAAAGTGTGTTGGACGAAGCTTCTGTGTCCTGCGCCTGATTCCTGCACCACATCCACATTCAGCTATTCCTGACAGAATTACACACCAACGATGGAATCAGCAGGTGCAGCAGTTCTTGGGTTTTGCGAATTACTACCGGAGGTTTATCCGGGGTTTTGGACAGGTGGCAGCTCCCATAACATCTCTTCTGAAGGGGGGTCCGGTGCGCTTGCAGTGGTCAGCTGAGACGGACAGGACGTTTGGGAGACTGAAGGGCCTGTTTACTTCGGCTCCGGTGCTGGCGCATCCGGATCCCGCTTTACCAACATGTTTCTAGCCCGGTTTGTATTTAAAATCACGTACATCCCTGGGTCCCAGAACGGTAAGGCAGACACCCTGTCCCGGCAGTATGACACAGAGGAGAGGTCCGTTGAGCCCACTCCCATACTACCGGAGTCTTGTCTGGTGGCACCGGTAGTGTGGGAGGTTGATGCTGAAATCGAGCGGGCGTTGTGTACCGACCCTAGCCCTCCACAGTGTCCTGTGGGTCGGACGTACGTTCCGCTCGAGGTTCGGGTTCGACTTATATATTTGGCTCACACGTCACCCTCCTCTGGACATCCAGGTATTGGCCGGACAGTGCACTGCCTTAGCGCTAAGTACTGGTGGCCAACGTTAGCCAGGGATGTGAGGGTTTATGTCTCCTCCTGCTCGGTGTGCGCCCAGTGTAAGGCACCCAGACACCTGCCCAGGGGGAAGTTACAACCCCTGCCCGTTCCACAACGACCCTGGTCTCACCTCTCAGTGGATTTTGTTACAGACCTTCCCCCCTCTCAGGGGAATACCACCATACTGGTCGTTGTGGATCGGTTCTCTAAGGCCTGTCGTCTCCTCCCAATGCCGGGTCTTCCTACTGCCCTACAGACCGCTGAGGCACTATTCACCCACGTCTTCCGGCATTACGGGGTACCCGAGGAAATAGTGTCTGATCGAGGTCCCCAGTTCACCTCCCGAGTCTGGAGAGCGTTCATGGTGCACTTGGGGGTCTCGGTGAGCCTTACCTCGGGGTACCACCCGGAGAGCAATGGGCAGGTAGAACGAGTGAACCAGGATGTGGGTAGGTTTCTGAGGTCGTATTGCCAGGGCCGGCCGGAGGAGTGGGCGAGGTATATTCCCTGGGCAGAGATGGCTCAGAACTCTCTCCGCCACTCCTCCACCAACCTAACCCCTTTCCAATGTGTGTTAGGGTACCAGCCGGTTCTGGCACCATGGCATCAGAGCCAGATCGAGGCCCCTGCGGTGGATGAGTGGGTGCGGCGCTCGGAGGAGACGTGGAACGCTGCACACGTCCATCTGCAGCGGGCCATCCGTCGACAAAAGGCGAGCGCCGATTTCCACCGCAGTGAGGGGCCGGTGTACGCACCTGGAGATCGAGTCTGGCTCTCGACCAGAAACCTACCCCTCCGCCTGCCCTGCCGGAAGCTGGGTCGGCGGTTTGTGGGGCCTTTTAAAGTCCTGAGGAGATTGAACGAGGTGTGTTACAGGTTACAACTGCCTATTGATTATCATGTTAACCCCTCGTTCCATGTGTCTCTTCTCAGGCCGGTGGTAGCTGGTCCACTCCAGGTCTGTGAGATAGGAGAGACTCCTCAGCCCCCATTGGACATCGAGGGGGCTCCGGCGTACACAGTTCGGTCCATCTTGGATTCGAGACGTCGGATGGGGGGTCTCCAATATCTCGTGGAGTGGGAGGGGTACGGCCCGGAGGAACGGTGCTGGGTGCCGAGGAGGGACATCTTGGACCCGTCTCTCCTGACTGAGTTCCACCGTGGTCATTCCACGCGCCCTGCTCCGCGTCCTCCTGGTCGTCCCCGAGGCCTCTTCCTTGTTCGGGCAGGCTTCGGCGGTCGTCGTCCCCGGAGTACTAGCTGCCACCGTTGTATGTTATCGATGTTTGTTTGGTTTTGTCTTAGTTGTACACCTGTTTCCGTTTAGTGTTAATTATGTGTCCTATAAGTTCTCGTTTTGTTAGTCGTGTGTTGTGTGTAATTGTCCGCCTGTCAGCAGGTGCTGTATTGTTTTGCTCCATTGTTTTGGAGAGTTTTCGCACTTGTGTGCGCACTTATTTGTATTTTGGTGTTTACGCGCGGTGTGCGTAATCGCTCGCCTCCGGGCTCTTTTGAGGCCCGTTTGTTATTTCTTGGTCGTCTACTAAAGTGTGTTGGACGAAGCTTCTGTGTCCTGCGCCTGATTCCTGCACCACATCCACATTCAGCTATTCCTGACAGTATTCGATCATATTACCAGTCACCTTGCGGTTTTTAAATGCGGTGGTTTCGCTTTCAGTTTTGTGTGAATGCTGCCATCTATCCACGGTTTTTGGTTTGGATAGGTTTTAATCGTCACAGTGGGAACAACATCCCCTATACACTTCCTGATGAACTCCGTCATCGTGTCAGTGTATACGTCAATGTTATTCTCATATGCATATACAAAAACACACACACACTCCCACAAACACACTCAAAGCCACACACACCACGACTGCTGTTGGACTTCTATTTAATATTGCACAAAACACTTTGCTCTCCATATCCCCATTCCCTGTAAATATTGTAATGCCAATCCGTTTGAGTGCTTTCCTTGTATTTATACTTCTGCTAAAATGTTATCCGTTGAGCTTCTATTCTATTAATTCATGTTTATTACTTTATTTTTCTATCGTTATTGTTGTTGCATTGTTGAGACGTGAACCTTCAAGCATTTCATTGTACTGTGTACACCATGTGTTCCTGTGCAAATGACAAATAAACTTGAACTTACAAGCTCTTGCTAGCGAACACTGTACCCTGACTGCAAGCTATTAGCATTAGTTTAAAAGCTAACTCTGTGGTCTGGTCTACAGCCTACCTCCAAGCATCGCGGCTGGCTGATCTCCCCGCTGGGCACCAACCCCTGGTGGACCCTGCTGGTGGCGGCGCTGCCTGCTCTGCTCTGTACCATCCTCATCTTCATGGACCAGCAGATCACCGCCGTCATCATCAACCGCAAGGAGCACAAGCTCAAGGTGAGCAAATGCTGGTTTATGGCATAGATTTATGAATTCTACAGGCTCCATTTCCACTGTCAAGGTGGAACAGACACATTTTTACAAAGATTCTGTCACCCTGTTCTGTCCATTATATTATCATTCACTGTGTTGAATATAGCTAGTGTTTTCATGAAATGTATTCACTGTGTACAATTTGGTGGTCCAACTATAGTATAATGGCTTTTTATCCTCTTCTTTTACCCCCTTGTTTTCCCCCTCTTCTCCGTCATGTAGAAAGGCTGTGGCTACCATCTGGACCTGCTGGTGGTGGCGGTAATGCTGGGTGTGTGCTCCATCATGGGCCTGCCCTGGTTCGTAGCTGCCACCGTGCTCTCCATCTCCCACGTCAACAGCCTCAAGGTTGGCAGCCTGCTGTGGTCTTTGTTTAGTCTTTGTTTATGTCACCTGTGTCAAACTCAATTCCTGGAGGGTGTTTTTTTGCTCCTCCCTTGTACTTGATTGATCAATTAAGGTCGTCGATTAGTTAGGAACTGCCCTCACCTGGTTGTCTAGGTTTTAACCAGACACAAATGGAAATAACAAAAACCAGCAGACACTCTGCCCTCCAGGAATTAAGTTTGACAATTCTGGTCTAAGTGATGAGTTATGGGTTTGTTTTTTATGTTAATGTACAAGTCTGAAAAAATTATGTATTTCTCTGAGTATAATAAATATTAATCTAATGTAATCTAATCAAATTTAAAGGTGGAGTCGGGCTGCTCGGCCCCAGGAGAACAGCCCAAGTTCCTGGGCATCAGAGAGCAGAGGGTCACCGGCTTCATGATCTTTGTCCTCATGGGCTGCTCTGTCTTCATGACCTCCGCACTCAAGGTGACAGCTCTTTGGGTTTTAGGAAAGTGTTATATTAATAAGCCATCTTATTTTTATAAGACAATGGGTGCTGGAACCAATGCCATGACAGGCAATGTGAATGATAAGCAGTTTGACTGTTTTACTGTATATTCACCTTACAGTTGAAATGTTGACATGGAATATTTAAAGGCAGTTTAAATCCCATATAATTTATGATGATGATGATGATGATGATGATTATTATTATGATATACTGTATGTTCAACTTCTCCCCCACCCTCCAGTTCATTCCTATGCCAGTGCTATACGGGGTCTTCCTCTACATGGGAGCCTCTTCACTCAAAGGCATTCAGGTGAGATTATATTCAATGATTTGTTCAAGATATGATTGATTGATTGAAGATATGATCATAGTTTTTAATCTTTAACAGTAAAGCAATGCAATGCCTTGTCTGTAATGATGAGCTTACTCCTTTGTAATTAAACTCTCTTTTATCAAGAAAACGTCATCACATTTAAACTATTTAATCTCATGTGTTTCCTGACTAAAATATGAAATGAACAATGAACGGGGCTCTCTCTCTCTTAGTTCTTTGACCGTATCAAGTTGTTTGGTATGCCAGCCAAGCACCAGCCTGACCTGATCTACCTGCGCTACGTTCCCCTGTGGAAGGTCCATGTGTTCACCCTGGTGCAGCTCACCTGCCTCATACTGCTGTGGGTCATCAAGGCCTCCGCAGCCGCCGTCGTATTCCCAATTATGGTAATACCCATAGAGATAAATGTTCTATAGTAATACTAACATCATTCCATCTCTCTATGGTATTATCACTCTCCACATCTACAAACTGGAGAAACGTGATATCTTGTCTAACAACAAGGGGGTTTGTGAACATGAAAATATCTAAAACCTTCTGTATGAGTTTCTGTGGTCCTTTTACTCCCTTTCTCTCCCTTAAAATATCCTATTTTCTCTTAAAGGTGCTGGCCCTCGTCTTCATTCGGAAGCTTCTGGACTTTTTCTTTACCAAGAGGGAGCTCAGCTATCTGGACGACTTGATGCCAGAGAGCAAGAAGAAGAAAGAGGATGACAAGAAGAAGAAGGAGAGGGAGAAACGGGTAACACACAGTAGCACTTTAAAGCCTTTAGTTCCCAGACAACATTCACTGTCTAGCACGCTAACATGACTTGTCCCCACAGAAATCAAATTACTAGAACAGGCAAAGGTGCTCAGACCATGGAAATTTGACTACACTCAATTGTAATTCTTTGCTTGTCCCCTTGGTTCCAGGAGGCTCAGGCTTTGTTGCTCATAGAAGAGCAGGTGGGCGTGAATGCTGTGAAAGTCCATTATGACGGTGGGAACCTGCTCAAGATCCCAGTCAAAACTCTGTCAGGGAGGTGAGTGCTGCCCACCATACAACCAGAGTACAATACAATCCATTACACTGGATAGCTAAATGAAGGACACGCTTTGTCTTTATCTTTCTATGATTTTATGATATGATTTTGTTTTGGTATTAGAATTTTTCTCCATCTCTACATTCTTGGTATTGCATGTAAAGGTAACAGTGATGATGTTAGTTCTGTAATGTGTTTATCTTGAACAGATCATACAGAATAATCGCTCATACCCTCCCAATGGATGAAGAGGCGGTAGGGGTGGGTGTCTGATATATCCAGCCCACGTGCTGAGTTTTAACCCTACTCAGTAATATACAGTAACATCAATGAGCGCATGGCCAAAATCGTAACTTGGCTATTTACTATACCTGTAGATCATGCCTTTTTATTGAAAACACACTCCCTGCTTGTTATGTTTGTGTTTTGGGGGGGATTGCTATGATGATACAGAATGCTCCACAGTATCATGGAAAGGTAAAAAGGCTCTAAAACCATGTGAATACTAATGACTAATGTACACATTGATTACATAGAGAACTCAGCCCAGACAATCATTGTCCCAAGAGTAACTATTGCCTCCAGAGCAATTGTTACACATAAGCCAGCACATCATTTTTGTGCAAGATACAATGACAGAGAACTGCTGCCAAGTGGCCCTGTGTGCTTCAATCTTTTGTTTGTTTACCTTATCCATATGCATGTATCTCTGTCTCCTGTCCCCTGTTCTGACTGTCCTGTTCCTCGCTGCATGTAGCTCATGTGACCTCAGCAATGTTAATATCTCTGAGGAAATGGCCAAAAGCGGGGCTTGCAAAGCAGTGGCGATGAGCGCCGACTTCGGCCCATCTATGAAGCGTAGCCAAAGGTAGCTATGCCGACAATGACTCGCCTTTAGCTGTCCCCCCTCTTTCTCCTAAAAATGGAGGAGCTTTTTTCCAGGCACACCTCAGGTCTACTGAAATCTCACTAAGACAAGATCATATCGATAACTCACCCCTTATAGATCATATAATTATATTATATTCAGTGACTATTCTAATCCAATATAACAAACTAGTCTACTTAATTATGTTACTAGCCCATTAATTAATAGGTATGACAAGGACAATGCATCCATTCTTATGTAATGCAAATATTAAGTTATTGCTTTTGCTGTGTCATAACTTGCGTAATGTTCAGTTGAATGTATGTTGTGAAATCTGAATTTTGTGTGGATGTTTGCAGAAAACATAATATTGAATATTGTATTTGCCTACAGATACATTCATATATTACAATATATATGAATGCATGTTGTAATATATTACATTACAGCATATAAAAGCAAAGCGTTCAAGAGGCTTTGCCCTGAGGTTCTAACGTCCTGAGGATCTAACACGATGCTGACACATTTTGTCCTTTTACCCCAATTATAATGGTTAAGAACAACATACTTTAACACATGAGCTCACCATCTTCAAGTTTAGGGTGTTAACAACTGCATATTCTTAGAGCATGGTATGAGCTTTGAGTTAAATTTTAGCATCTCCGTCTGGCATTCTTCTAGACAGCAATGCACTTAAATCAGCAACACATTTCCTGCTCATCCTTTACACATTGATATCCTGGCCCAGCACAGCACAACCAGCCCACTGATGCTTCTCTTCCCATCTATCTCCCTCCCTTGTCTCTGTCTCTGGCAGCCAGGAGAAGGTGGCCTGTGTTAGAGTCAATATAGACACCACCGAGGCAAGAGGGCAGAATTCAGCCTTGGAGACAGCCTTGTGATGGAGGAGACCTTGTCCTAACCCCCCCCCAACCCCAACCCCACAGAGGGCCACCCTGGCTAGGCCTGGAGCAGAGAAGTCAGACTGGTCTCTGGAGAAGCCCCTTTTGTGGGTCTGCTGGGTCAACAGTTGAGCTCCAGTGACCTCCAGTGGTCCAGTGTAGCTCTGGGGATCCTGAGGCCCCCCAGTGCACAGAGGACTGACTGCCCTGCAGTGGCGAGCACATTGCTGGGATATGAATGAACCAGACTGACACTGCCCACAGACCCCCACCATTTTGGGTCCAAACCCCATGTCAACCAATCATTTCCCACCCACTGCCACAGATGCCAAAGGATGGGGCCACCACCGCCACACTGATGCGGAATCTTTCTTCGTTTGTCATGTATGCGTGAATTTACTTAATTTTAAAAGGTATATTTTCTCATTACAATTTTAAGCAATATTTTGTAACATTTTTTAAGAGATTCACATGTACATCCTGTTTTTTAGCACACGTCATGTGTGAGCTATTCTGGTCTCTGTCAAAAAGAATTCTTACAAATAATATATATTTACTTTACAAAAGGTAATATACACAAACCAGCTACAAAAGCACATGTCACTCAAGCCATGATTCAGGTTGTTATTTCTGTGATTTCATCAGTGCAAACTGGTTACATATCACTGGTAATCTAAATCTAAACTGTTGCAAACCAAAAGAAGAATGTATACATTTAGGCGACTATACCCCATAATCTTTCTTGGTTGTGAAACATTGACAGAAAGGTTGGAGTGGCAACATCTTTTCACTGCCCCTGTACTGAATCCGTACTGTATACTCTGCAAGTTGTATTCTCAGTATTGATATCGCTGCTCAGATCAAGTTGTTCAGCTTATAATTTTTTAAAAAGTGAATGTCACTGTTGTGCTGTTTTAGTGGAATTGTGTGCTTTTGATGTTTTAATGGACAATAATAATAAAAATAATAATTTAAGGTTAAGGAAGTGAAATGAATATTACAATAAGCACTTTAGATTTCTTTGCCAGTAGGAATTAGTGCACAGGCCTGAATTGAGTTAAAAACATTGAATCTGAAGATCCACAGAACTGCTGCTCAAATGTCTAGAAAAAGTAACGACTCAGGAATCAACATGATTTCTGATTGTGGGAAGTTCTTTACCCTCATAATTTGTCTCACTACTCATACCGTATTTCAATGGCATAACTATTTGTCTGTTGTTGGGACAATTATTTTTGATAAACAGGAAGGTTAAAAAAAATTACTGTGCCGTCAGATTTCTTCTAATAGCAATGCACAACGTTATTCTGTGCAGTAAAGTTCTATTCACACAGTATTGTACAACTTATGCTGCACATGTTTTAATACTTGTGTCACATGTAAAACGTATCATCAGTATGTTCAGTATTACAGATATTTCAAATATATATATATATATTTTAAAAAAGATCTGTAAAATGTATTGCATTGCTTAGCACACATGCTCCTGTTTTAGCAATAATAGACTTGTGTTGAGTACAATGCAATGTCTGGAGTGATGGTTCTATTGAGCTGTCTAAGGGGAGTTTGTCAAACCCCATCCACTTTGTGTGTCTGCTCTATTGACTATATTAGTGTGTAGTTGATTATACAGACAATAGCTTATGTGCCTTGTGAATGCTCTTTGTGTAATTTAGTCATACTGTAGACATAGTATAGTAAATATGTTCAGGTAGTACACACACACACACACACACAGCAGTAGTGATCTGAATGTTTTAGTGAAAATCATATCCTCTTCAACCAAACCGGCAACTGAACTGATTAATAACGTTACAAATATCATTAATACTTCATCGTACCCATTTTCGGTCAAGATATGTACTGTATGTTTCTATGTCACAGATGTAGTGTTTGTTCACAAATAGTAAGAACTGTAATGTACTGTAATCAATGGATGTTATTTTTTATGCAAAATCAGTGAATTTACACCGAATTATTGCAGCTTTAATATCACTGGTGAAAGTTACAAAAATCTGGTACATTTCTCCAAACATTGTTTTTGAAACAAATATAAATGGATTAATTTGAATAATTTTAGTTTGAACAGAATTCAGATAAAATGTTGGCTATTTCGAGTCATTACAAATATTGTTTTGGTATTTGTGATCCTATACGTGCGCAGTAGGTACCACAACTCAATGTAGAACACAAATGGTATTGCAGTGCAATGGATTCCATGTGTATTATATGATCTGTACCATAGATAATATACATATGGCTGTTCTGCACCATAGAAACAGGGTGTTCTTTAGGATAATATGCCATTTAGCGGACGCTTTTATCCAAAGCGACTTAGTCATGCGGGCATACATTTTATGTATGCGTGGTCCAGGGAATTGAACCCACTACCCTGGCGTTACAAGCACCATGCTCTACCAGGGACCACTTTAGGACCATGTATTACACTGACCTTACTACTGCTGCACAGAAAATCATCCTGTAATGTTGTTGAATACAATAACATAGGATGGAAACTATTTTTTTTAAACTTTGTTGATGGAAAGCAATAAAAAGAGTGTAAATGTCTTATTTCAATCTGCATATTTAACCCAGGCACATAGCACCCCATCAGCATGTGAAAGTACACAGTGCACAATACACAGAGGTGTTCAAGAGATATAAAGGCGTTATCCTGTAGAGATTTTTTTTTTAAGACAGACTAAGGAAATTGAAGTTGAACATGTTTAATCAAAATGATATCCCTATATTAAAGGTTTTATTTGGCATCTTTGGGGATTTTCAGCACTTTGTAGACTTTATTCTGGAACATTGTGGTGAAGTGAGGCCGGGAGTCGATGGACAGTAGGGTACATAGCGGCAACTTTCCTCTGTTCTCCTGATCCTCCACGTCCCAGATCTCAGGCATGCTGCAGCCTGGCCTGTGAAGTATAGCACAGTTAGATGGGAATCAGAGATTGAGAGAACATAGTACTACAGGGCTTTGTTCATTAGGCACCAAAAGGAAGTAAATGGACTGAAATGGGGAGGGAAAGTGGCCAATAAGAAACGTGTTTTAATTTTCTATGGCAAAACGTTTTGCTATGGTATGCTTAATAATACCACCCTGTTTACCTGGAGCGTCGGTTACACCAAGAGTCCTCCAGGATGAAGTAGTCTGCCTGCAGCTGCATCAGATTCCTCTTCACCTCCTTGGCCGGTTTCCGACTGTACATGGTGTACACCAACTTGGTCCTTTCCCTGTGGGAATATATTATACGTTACTTACTGACAAACACAATGGGTTGTGCCTCATCAGATATTACTGCAATGCATAACCCATAGGGGAATTGTAGCAGTCTTACCTCTGCCAAGTGTCCTCGTAGTGGGGATGATTCACGATGACTCTACCAGTGGACAGTTTCACACTCGCCATGGTTGGCATGGAGCCAGCAAACACAGCATCTTGGATCACACACAAATACAATTTTATTTTATTGCGTTACAATAATTACACTAATTCAGATCTATCCTAGATAGTAATGCATCTACAGAGCTTAGCAGCAACTGAACTAGCTCAGCCTTCTACTGTATACCCACTAATCTCTGGCCCCTGAAAAGCACACGCTAGGAATATGTCGTAACATTACATGACTCACTGGGCATGGTGTTGGCATTGATCCACTCCAGGAGCTGCTCCTGAGGCAGGTTACTGAAGTCTCCCACGATTCCTCGCTGGCTCTGGTAGTTGGCCACGCCCTGGATGGCCATGATGGACAGGATGCCAAACACAGTGATGTGGCGCTTGAAGTGCTCCCCTATCCAGCCAAACAACTGCGGAGCATTGGAGAACATATAATATGCCATTTAGCAGATGCTTTTATCCAAAGCGACATACAGTCATGCGTGCATAATTTTTTTTGTGTATGGGTGGTCCCAGGGATTGAACCCACTACCTTGGCATTACAAGCGCCGTGCTCTACTAGCTGAGCTACAGAGGACCACGGTAGATCAATGAAGAACCAACGTAGATCAATTATCAGACAGTCTTTATTATAGACATTATTATAAATCCATTCACAAGGACATTTGATTTGGGGGATGTTTTCACTATGATGTGCTCTGACTGCCTGGACCAAAGTCCAGTTACTAACCCTAATGCTGACTATGGTGGAGTACTAATAAGATATTCATTTGTTTCAGCATAGCTTCTATAGCTGGTATGAGGGAGGTCAATTAAAGAAAATGGAAAGTGACCCATGTGATTTCTATTGTCTCTCCATGTCTGTCTGTCTGTTTGTCTCGGTCAGTGTCTGTCTACAGACGTCTCACCTGTCTAGAGCAGATCAGGGAGGCCATGAGGCACATGAGCGGGGCCAGGAAGAGTTTGATTATCATGACCAAGATCGCCAGCACGGCAAAGGCCACCAGCTGCAGACTATGGTACACCATCTGACACACGCACGCGCACACACACACACACACACACACAGGCAGGGAAACACAGTGGAAGTTATGAGCGCTGTAATGATTCACGAGTCATTGTGCCTTCAAGGAAAATAGCTGCAAAAAACTGCTGCTAATATGGGCTGTGATGTTGGTTTGAAAGTGAAAATAAGTAGCTAAGTTGGCTTACCTCCCCATTAGCAAACTGTGCCGGCCTAAAATATGATAGAAGATGTTTGCATGAGTCACAAACAACACAACAATGTTGCAGGAAGCTATCAGCAGTCTGTCTGTATACCATAAAGACAGTAGGTGGAGCTAGTGTCCAGTGAATATAATACAATGCGACTTGTTGGATTGGAAATTACTTACTGCTCAGTGTCAATATCGATGTCTTCTTTAGAGTAAATTATTTCGCGCCTAAGAGATCTCCAGACTTCTTTAATTGCCTTCAAAGGAATTATTTATAATACTACATTAGACACTCAAATTGACTTAAATGAGCAGCAATGCCAAAATCGAGAATAATGTGTCTCACCTTTCCAGAAATGATGCCCACAATAACTATGTTTACCGGGAGTATCAATGTCTTAACGTATCCCAACAAAGTCTGGAAACAGAATACAGTATAAAAAAATAACACTTAGCCATAAAAAATTTATAAAATCAACAACCAAATAGTACCGTCAAAAGTAAGCTCAGAGGCAGCACTCATGAAATTAAACCTACCTCCAGCTCCATAAAGTCGAACTCTGCAGCACAGGTGCACATCAACGTGTGGAAATCCTTGTAGTTGGTCAACTTGGATCTGATCAAGTTGCCAATGTGAGCCTGTGGGAAAAATAGAGAAACACACGATGATGTTAAAGTCATGCAGACATTCACACCTTCATATGGAAACATTGAAACAGGAAGTGTGAGAATGACATTAAATGAGTAGACTCCATCAGTGAAAGAGAAAGGGAGGAGGAATACATTGTGGGGAACAAATAACATTGTATTTTTATTTCATGGGTCACTCATAGCCCACGTTGAGATCATGCTGAACAGACTTTCATCTAAGAACTTACATCATTGGATACTCCGAGGATGAACGACATGAAGAATTTGAGAAGCACAGTAGAGGTAAACCAGGCAATACCTTGGACAAGCTGAGGATTTAGAGGAAAAAGTTAACACTCAAAACCTGTAATATGTCGCACTCTGCCACTAAATAATGCTGTGTAATTGCATGTTACGATTGGGGGTATAGAGTGGAGACCCTTGGGATGGTATAATACCATGGGAATTCAATATATTTATCTTATAAAAGGTCATGGGAAAATGGCCAATTCTGAGGAACGTAGTTTCACCAATTAACCCCTGCATGTAACTAAATAACTAACATTATTATAAACAACAATTATTCAAACAGGATTTCATACAATTGTGACGATTCCAGGTTTGCAGACTCTTGTGATATCATCTCGCAGTGCGATGATGGCCTGGAAAACACCACCATACAGGAATGAGGTGTGACAGAATGACACTTGTGTATTCAGGCATTGCAGTCTATTTCCCAGTCTACTCACCCAGCCAGCAACGAGGGAAGAAATGTAAAAAGATGTAAAAAGTGCCAAATTCCCAAACAGCAAGACAAAGCAGATGGCAAATGAAGTCTGAAAGGAGAAATAACTTTTGTTCAGCAAATAAAAATAATTGATGAACATTGTTCATGTTGGAACTGTTCTATGATCATTTCACAAAAATAGCAGATACTAGTATGTTTCTAAGTCTTAAACCTGTGATGATTATGCCTAAATATCAATTCAGTAGTAATACTTACCAGATGCACAACAAGTAGTGATTTCATCTTGGCAGTGGAGAGATAGCCCATAAAATAACAGGCAAACAGGCATGCAACCTGAAGACACAGACAACATAGGCATTTCAATTCATTGTCACGATTATTGTACAGCTGAGGATCTTCAGTACATAAACATAATCTTGTAAATTGACTGGTATATCCACAGGAATGTTACCAGGCTATTTTCCAGGCATGTGTTTTTACCTAAGTGTGGATTTATTTACCTGAGTTAGCAAAACAAACTGGGCAAATGGCCAAGGAAGAAGGAACAAAACATTGCAAGCACCAATAGCTACTAAGGATCTTCTTTCAGGGTTGGAATGCCTACAAAATCGTACAAAGACAACAGTATTATTTGAATTAATTAATAATCAGTGACATACACTGAGTGTACAAAAACATTTAGGAACACCTCTTTCCATGACATGACTGACCAGGTGAACCTAGGTGAAAGTTATGATCCCATATTGATGTCACTTGTTAAATCCACTTCAATCAGTGTAGATGAAGGGGAGGAGACAAGTTAAATAAGTATTTTTAAGCCTTGAGACAATCTAGACATGGATTGTGTATGTGTGCCATTCAGAGGGTGAATGGGCAAGACGAAAGATTGAAGTGCCTTTGAACAGGGTATGGTAGTAGGTGCCAGGCACACCGGTTTGAGTGTGTCAAGAACTGCAACGCTGCTGGGTTTTTCACGCTCAACTGTTTCCCGTGTTTATCAAGAATGGTCCACCACCCAAAGGACATCCAGCCAACTTGACACAACTGTGGGAAGCATTGGAGTCAACATGGGCCAGTATCCCTGTGGGAAGCTTTCAACACCTTCTAGTCCATGCCCTGACGAATTGAGGCTGTTCTGATGGCAAAAAGGGGTGCAACTCAATATTAGGAAGGTGTTCCTAATGTTTTGTACACCAGTGTATATTCATTTATCTAAGTCATAAAACACAGATAGGGCTTTGAAAAGAGTGGTGAAGCCCAAGATGGTTGTAAATAGTTTAGATCAATGGCATGTGAACTGAATATACCTGAGAATATATGTTAACAGCAGCATCTGCAGGACAAAGAAGGGATAGGAGAAGCTCTCCCTCAGCGGTGGAGTCCACATGACCCGAGTGCTCTGGAATATATAGCATGAGTTAAGATAGCACTCACCACCAGCCAACCCCCATAATGATCTATGATACAGTTTACATACACTGTATGCAACAATCAAAAGACATTCATCTCAACAAAACCAGGTAAGCCAGTTGAGAACAAGTTCTCATTTACAACTGCGCCCTGGCCAAGATAAAGCAAAGCAGTGCGATAAAAACAACAACACAGAGTTACATATGGGGTAAAAAAAAACATAAGGTCATAAAATACAACAGAAAATATATATACAGTGTGTGCAAATGTAGCAAGTTATGGAGGTAAGGCAATAAATAGGCTATAGTGCAAAATAATTACAAATCAAATCAAATTTTATTGGTCACATGCGCCGAATACAACAGGTGCAGACATTACAGTGAAATGCTTACTTACAGCCCTTAACCAACAGTGCATTTATTTTAAACAAAAAAAGTAAGAATAAAACAACAACAAAAAAAGTGTTGAGAAAAAAAGAGCAGAAGTAAAATAAAGTGACAGTGGGGAGGCTATATATACAGTAAAAAAGTGACAGTAGGGAGGCTATATATACAGGGGGGTACCGTTGCAGAGTCAATGTGCGGGGGCACCGGCTAGTTGAGGTAGTTGAGGTAATATGTACATGTGGGTAGAGTTAAAGTGACTATGCATAAATACTTACTTAACAGAGTAGCAGCAGCGTAAAAAGGATGGGGTGGGGGGGCAGTGCAAATAGTCCGGGTAGCCATGATTAGCTGTTCAGGAGTCTTATGGCTTGGGGGTAGAAGCTGTTGAGAAGTCTTTTGGACCTAGACTTGGCACTCCGGTACCGCTTGCCGTGCGGTAGCAGAGAGAACAGTCTATGACTAGGGTGGCTGGAGTCTTTGACAATTTTGAGGGCCTTCCTCTGACACCGCCTGGTATAGAGGTCCTGGATGGCAGGGAGCTTTGCCCCAGTGATGTACTGGGCCGTACGCACTACCCTCTGTAGTGCCTTGCGGTCAGAGGCCAAGCAGTTGCCATACCAGGCGGTGATGCAACCAGTCAGGATGCTCTCGATGGTGCAGCTGTATAATTTTTTGAGGATCTGAGGACCCATGCCAAATCTTTTTAGTCTCCTGAGGGGGAATAGGCTTTGTCGTGCCCTCTTCACGACTGTCTTGGTGTGTTTGGACCATGATAGTTCGTTGGTGATGTGGACACCAAGGAACTTGAAGCTCTCAACCTGTTCCACTACAGCCCCGTCGATGAGAATGGGGGCGTGCTCAGTCCTCTTTTTTTTCCTGTAGTCCACAATCATCTCCTTTGTCTTGGTCACGTTGAGGGAGAGGTTGTTGTCCTGGCACCACACGGCCAGGTCTCTGACCTCCTCCCTATAGGCTGTCTCATCGTTGTCGGTGATCAGGCCTACCACTGTTGTGTCGTCGGCAAACTTAATGATGGTGTTGGAGTCGTGCCTGGCCATGCAGTCATGGGTGAACAGAGAGTACAGGAGGGGACTGAGCACGCACCCCTGAGGGGCCCCTGTGTTGAGGATCAGTGTGGCAGATGTGTTGTTACCTACCCTTACCACCTGGGGGCGGCCCGTCAGGAAGTCCAATTAGTCCAGTACAATTAGTATTAACACTGGAATGCTAGATGTGCAAAAGATTATGTGCAAATAGAGATACTGGGGTGCAAAAGAGCAAAATAAATAACAATATAGGGATGAGGTAGTTGGGTGGGCTAATTTCAGATGGGCTGTGTACATGTGCAGTGATCGGTAAGGTGCTCTGACAACTGATGCTTAAAGTTAGTGAGGGAGATAAGAGTTGCAAAACATGAATTGCACAGTGAGGAAACTTTCATATGGATTGCACTATGAGTACACAGCTCCAAAGTGCGAAACTCTCACCTCTCCATGGTTGAAGAAGAGACACAGGACGGTGACGACACCTCCAAGACGACTGCCACTGGAAAGAAACCCCCCCAAAAAACATCAGATTGTCTCCTAGAGTGGCAAGGGGCACCAAAACAGCATGGATACCCAAGACGATTGTTTTATGGAACACCATAGTGATAAACTAGCCTGGGTACCAGTCTGTTTGTGCCATCATGGCACTCCTTGTCATGGCTTACATGACAGCATGGAGTATGCAACAAAACAAACAGATCTGGGACCAGGCTAGTGAGAAACCAACAACAGTTTAAGAACTCTTTACCTTAGGTAAGTCCCGTAGAGGAAGAACAGGCTCATCATTACCCCATTAAGCAGGAAGACACAGGAGACATAGAAGTAGGCTGCATCCCCCATGCCTAGAAGTGGGAGAAAATTATATTCACGGTGTCAATTTACTGTGCCTCCCAGTCCTGACAGTGTGACACACTATGTTACTACAGGATGTTATTTACAATGCATAGTAGGATTGGGCAGTATCCAGCTTTTCAAACCGTTATACCGTTTCTGTACCATACCAGGGTATACAGTATTATCAGAAGTGCACACAAGGGGCGCTATAAAAAAAAATTCAATAACAATTTAGGCAACAGGGATCTTGATCCAGGAGGGGATTGAATGTCTATAGTCTGCGTACCAGTCTTTTCAGCTAACATTCTACTCCTTGCTAGTGGTGGGGAGTCGAATCCAAAATAATCGATTCCTCGACTCCTTGCCCGTCGATTCCCGGTGTCGACTCCCATTTCTGGATGTCAAGCTTCGATTCCGCTAGGAATCGACTCCTAAGATTCAGTATTTTTGTAACGGAGGAACTACTTGCCGTCGTCTACTTGGAGAACAAACTCTTGCAACTTTCACTCAAAGAAAGAGTGAGCTAGCAATGGAGAGAGAGAGGGGGGAGGGACACAGCCAGGCATAGGCATTTCGGCCACCAGGCAGAAAGTCAGAACCGTGCATTGGTAATCAAATTATATAGGCTATCGCAATGCTGTATTTAGAAATGTCTTGGCTTGCAATGTCTCGCGCAAGTTCACTAAAGTATGGGCTATCAATGAGTCGTCTGAGCTACTCTACAAGCAACAGACCAAACACACACTAGCATTTTCATAGCGAAGAGAAAGAGCAGGCGAGCCAGCGAGGGAGAGAGAGGATCCGGCCAGGCAGACAGACTGTCGGAACCATGCGCATAGGCTATATTTTGGTAATCTGTATCTCGTTATGTCTTGTCTAGTAATGCCTCGTAAATTCACCAAAAGTATATTAAAAGTATATATTAGGCTATCAATGAGTATGGCAAAGCTATTCTTCATAGTGCCAGTGAACATCTCCAAATGCATCCGTTTAATTAGGTGCAATAAAAAGTATTGTGCCTATTTCCTATTTAATGAAACCCTGACTGGCTGTTGATGTCCTGGGTCAGGGCTTCAACCTTGTTCCTGGAGAGCTACCGTCCTGTAGTTTTTCGCTCCAACCCCAGTTGTAACTAACCAGATTCAGTTTATCAACTAATTATTGAATCAGATGGGCTAGATTAAGGTTGGAGTGAACCTAGAGGATGGTAGCTCTCCACGAACAGGGTTGGAGAGCTCTGTCCTAGGCAATAGATCGCAAAGCAGGGCATCCCCGCTAAACTTTTTGAAATGGCAAGTCCACTTTCTCATCCATAAACGCATCTCAAGTGCAAATATTGGTTCAGCAGCTCAAATCAGCAAGAAGAGGGGCATTGTTATTAGGAAGGACGTCTACCGTGGATCGCTAAAATAATGATAATGATCACACTTCATCCATTTAAATATTATGGGGACATCTATACATTTGGCAGCCAAGCACGAGTCATCAGTGTAGCCTATGTCGTTGAAATATCTTCAAATATCTTCACGCCTACAATAAAAACATCCAGGCTTCCGTCATAAGAGTAAATTATATATCTTTTTTAATTGAATTACAGGGGGGGAAATGTATCGTGTGAATCGTCCTCTGGAATAACGCACATTCTTGCATAATAATTACAAAACCAACGTCTCTAGTAATACCCGTCCGAATAGGGCTATAACATTGCAAATAATAGATTTATCAGCGTAGTGCCCCGCATCATCCCATGTCATGTGATCACCTATATTCAAACAAAATAGGCCTTTTATAGGCTAAATTGATGACCAAATGGTCAGCATCATACTCATGTCAGTCCTCAAGAACGCAAATGTAGCCTTCCTTCTGGACTCTGCAATAGTGAGGTGGTGTGTACGCATCCGTTTCTGCGTGTTTTCGGAGTCGAGCAAGAGTCGACTCCAACTACAGGACTCGGAGTCGACTCCAAAAATCCTGGAGTCGTGCACGAGTACTCCTTGCCACTCCATGTCATTGACAAAGAGAAAATCTCAACGTTCAATATGCAGCTGGATTTATGGTGGAGTTGCTCATTGGTTGTTGGAAATAATATTAATATTTTCCATGACAACATGTTGAGCCTTGAAAATAGAATTAGAATGATTACAAAGTCAAAAACAAACATTTAGCTGTTAGCTAGGCAAGTTGTTGTATTTTGAGGCTTGGTAACGAGGTTTTGTGGTTGGAATTGCATTATGTATTTAGCTTGAGAATTTAGAGGTGAGCTAGCAATTTTTTGACAGACTGGTTTAATCTGGACAAACAAAAAATGGTTGCTTAGCAACCGGATACCAACATGTTCTGTGGAGAAAAAAAGTGAGACTTCCAATATTTGGATTATCGTTGTGATTGGAGGATAGCTGTGAGGGTTATCGAATCAGGATCAACTCCTGTTCTCCTCGAGCTCATTAATGATAGAATGTTCATATTTGAAGATGGCAGAAAGGCCAGTCTTTGCAAATGACAAGGAGTGGCAAGGAGTGGAATGTTAGCTAAAGAGACTGTACTCAGCAAGGCACTCAGGCTAGAATGTCTCTGCTGTAACCAAGAAGCTTGTTATTAACATCTAGCCAATTAGCTAGCAAGTTAGCAAACCAAATGCAAAGCTGGAGCCCTGAGCTGGATATAATTTAATTGACACATCTTAGATTTGTTATAGTTAGGCGGGGTAGCCCCCAACCCCAAAATCATACGTCGGTATTTCGAAATATACCGTTTATACCGTATACCGTTTATACCGGGGTATCGCCCAAGCCTAACGCAGTTATGTTCTAGGAGTAGTTGTACCTTCACAGCTCTCTACTGGATTCAGTCCATCTGCTCTGGTGACATTCCAACATGCCTTGGTGGGGATTCCAAAGAAGTCCATGGTGCCAGTGTAAATCCTAAACAGGCTGCCAAGGAAAACCTATCAACAGAGAGGGGATCACTGGAATACACACTGTAACGAAATAAACATTACAAGAGCAATACAATGTTCACTGCACTGCCAAATTAAATGATAGCCATTGTTTCTCATTTGTCTTTGTTTGGTGACATAAAGAATTGTCATAATTTGCATATTTACAAAATTCAAAAATCTTGCTTGCAAAATAATGACATAGTTCCAACTCCTACTGTACCTCTGGGTACAGATTGAACCTCTTCAGAGCATTGATCACAAGAGGGTACTCAGAGAACCTGTCGTTCATGATCAGGCGGAGCCCATGCAAAAAGGATGGCGCATTGATGAAGACCTTGAAATAGGAATAATACAGACCCTGCAAAATAAAACCAACATGTGAGTGAACTGGATGCTGAAATTGCAGATAAGCCTATTTTTGTAACAATGTGTCAATTTCTTCAATAACACAGGATGTCAAATCTAAAGCCCCCTTGGGATGGCAGAAGTGTGAAGCAGTGAGGGACAGGAGGGAAATTTGTTAAATGTAAGTTACAATTGGCCCATCTCAACATTCCTCTTACCATTTCAGTGCGGAAAGCCATTTCTTTTTCAATTGAAGATAGGTGTGAAAAGTGTTTGTCATTTTCAAAGAGGTTTGTTAGATGAGCCCTAAACAAAGATTTAGACATCACATCAGCAAGGGGAAGTGTCTGTCTGTCAGACTGAATGACTTGACTGAATGAAGTATAGGCCTAATCCTTTAGACTAATTACATCCACATTTCTGCATCTGGCCAGCATTGGCTGCTGAGGCTTACTAGATAGGTTATAACAACATACAGTACCTGGATAATGAACTTACCAATGTAGAAGTCCAGCCAAGACAGCTGTCAAAAAGACGCACACAGGTTTGTCATCAAAATAATAAATGCTCAGTCATAGGCTGATAATTAGTTAATATGTACATTTATAGTTGAGGCAAATATTGAAACTTACCAAGAATGACTGTGATTCCAATGTTCATAAAATATCGCACAGTTATGCCTACTTTATCTCGGATAAAAGCAGAGTCAGACCCGTCATCTTTGGTTTGCAAAACGCAGTTATGAGAAACACATTTTCGTGCCTGTCGTTTGTTGACATGACGGGCAAATAAAACGCGTGTATCCTTTGCATCATTCGGGATGCCTTTGGTTGAGTTTAACAATTCCCCATCGTCACTTTCAGGGCAAAATTGGGTCTGGTCGCCTGACCGGCGAGTCTTCATAGCCATGTTTTCAGACTCTGAGTCCGAGAATGCCTCAAAAGATGACATAAGAGGTAGATACACCAGGTAGGCAACTCGTCTCAGTATTTTCAATGGTTATTTTCTTTGTCAAAGTTAAATAAAATTAGCTAACGTTAGTTTGCTAAATAGCATTTTCTGGCCACACAACTTCAAAGGACGCACCGCAATTTAGCTAGTAACCATGGAAACCCAGGATCAGCATTCTTCAAAGACGGTTTTGCTGCACCGTCATTATATTAATGAATATTAAAAACAATAGCTAATATTCATGTCTTTAAAAAAAAATACTGGATCAAATATTTTCTTTCAAAAATAAAGTGTCTGTTTTCAATCATGATTCGAACAAACGAACGTGAGGTTCCATCTGAACTGAAGTTCACATTACGCGCCAAATATAACACAATGAATAGGATTTAGGGTAGGGTCTTTAAAACTGATTGATTGAATCAAGCCAGTCCTACAAGTTTATATTAAATACAATATTACACAGATTTACAATTGAACAAATATTGCATTTATACCGACATTACATACTTGATTCATTATTTCACTCGGAAATAGGTTTATGGGTATTAAACATAATATCACAGGGATCAATGCTCTCTGTCTTCTTATAACAACTTTCAAGTCATACTTTCATATTCTACAATGACAGAAGATTGTTCTGAAGAATATTTAGATCTCATGATTTTGAAGGTTTCAAATGATGTCCTTTTTTCCCCAAAGCGTCATTCAGTTGTTCACTTCAAAACCTGTTCAAAGCCTTTTTGTCTGTGTGGCTGAGTGACCATTCAGTTCTTCTGTAGTGCCCTGTGATCCGGTAGAGAGGGGTGAACTCGCTGGGCATACTAAAATAGTCCAGTCAGTAGTGCCATTCAATCCAGTCAGTAGTGCCATTTTCCCATGGCTCAGTTGGCAGCATTGGGTGGCCCCTCCGGTATGAGAGACATGAAGAACGTGACAATAAAAGACCAAGTCGTAGAGAAAAAGCCAGCATGAGGAATACCATTGGGATCCTGCAGTCCTTTCTCTCCACTGTCCCCATCGTCGTCCCCCAAGCCTTCATCCATCACCCGCTCCTGTGTAGGCCAAAAATGGCAACACGTAAATTAGCCATTGCACAGATAAACTGGAATACTGGATACATTCTTTCCTCTAACATTTCCAACAAACTCTTTCCATCGAAAGACACATTTGCTACATGCATCAGTGCAATTGTAATCATTCACCATAGCAATACCATATTAAGTTACCAGACAAGAATTACATAAATCATTCATCAGTGCTATTACAAATTAAATTACTGCATCATTCAAGGAGTTATCTGTCCTGATATTCAGAAGCACTTAAACTAGAGGTTAATGGTCAGAGGTTAAAGATGACCTACCATCTCTTGGAGGTCATGATGAAGGTCGGCCTCCATCTCATCCTGGTGGGGCCCATCCCCATGGTTCTGAAATTCATTCTCCAGGGTAAAGGGGAACCACCCTGCTTGGTGCCTAATGTAAACACAGAGAAACAGCCATTGACAAAACCTGTGATACATAATGGGTGACCGTTCACAACACATTTGTTGGGTCAAAGACCCAAGAAGACCCAGATAGAAAGGTATAGGGTTAATTTAAAGGATTCAGAACAATCTCATTTTCCATTTACACAATTTCTACAAATATATTGAATGTCTCTAGCCTGATCCCAGAGCTGTATAGCTATCACTATGGATATTGGCAAGACAGCACATACAGATCTGGGATCAGTCTACTATGTCACCGTTAGCAGGGACACATAGTTTTAAGTTGAGAGGGTGCAGGGGAATACTCACAGGTATAGCAACAACATTGCGCCCATCACCATGACAAAGCGGCTAAAGGAGGAGTAGAAGTAGACAATGCTGAGCAAGATGGCAACGCGTGACACCGTGTACACCCAGTCCAGCCAATCATGGTTCTGCTCCTCCTCGTTCAAATGCGCCTCCCCTCCTTGGGCATTCATCTGGATGTCGGGCTCGCCACGGCGCTCCTCAGCGGGAGGCAGGTTCTGAGGATCTGATTGGCCGGGCTGGGCCGAGAGCAGGTCAGGCCTGAGGTGGTGAGACGAGGCAGCCAACATCAGACTGAAGGGCGAGACAGAGAAAGGAGAATAATTGCATGACACAGCAAGGGTAATTGAGCATATTGTCACACAGTTGTGAGACAGCAGACTTACTAGTGCATGTAGTATTGCCGGGCGTACACCTGCTGCCACCACAGCAGCGTCATGGGATTGTACTGTATGCCAGGGTAGGCTGGCATGTTGTTGGGAGGGTGTTGCTGTGGAGGGAACTGGTTCCACATGTAGCTGCAATAGAAGTACACAGCTATGGGTAAACGGTTTGGCATTACCAGTAGAACAATTAACACATACAAACACTAATCTATTACTCCCCAAGACGGCATAGCAGTGCGGTCGTGTTTTCTGAGTGTCCTTATGTAAATAGCCAGTTTTTTGTTTTTTTTGTCTTTTTCGTATATATTTCTCAATCTCACTTTCCATCCTTTAACTAAATATACCTTCCTGCAACCCGCCTCACCCAATGTGGAACGGATTCTGTTGTTTCTTCATAAATTTTTTATCCAGAACCTCTGGCTGAAATTAGCCAGCTAACTAGCTACTTGCTATTAGCCACCGTTAGCGGTCTTCACCATTGTCCGTAGCCGTGGCCTGCACTACCTACCAGCCAGCCAGCTCTAGCCTGGACTATTATTTCGGCCAGTCTGCAGTCTGCACAGCGCGTAATCGACCCTGAACATATCGGTTTTTCTGCCGGAATCACTGAATCACTGGACCTTTAACACCGGATTCATCGCTACCAGCTAGCTGCAACCAAATGGACGTTTGTGGTTGGCTAATCAGCCCTGAGTTAGCCTTGAGCCAGGCCCATCTCCCGGCTATCTACCGCTCTGTCAACCGGACGGGACCTCCTAGTGTTGACACGGAGCCCCGCCGATCCAACACGACTGGTCTGCCGACGAAATCGTCTGATGTGGTTACAACAGGCTTCCCGTTACGACATCGACCACGAAGATCCATCTGCTAGCCCCGGCCCGCTAGCACACGCTAGCCGTGGCCTCTTGCTCGCTAGTGCTATAGCAGCCCCCGAACTACCTCCGAACTATCCTATTGCTGTTCACCAGACCTTATGATAACTCAGCTATACAGCTGATGCCTGCTGGACTGTTCCTTTTTACGGTACCGCATCCTGTTTATGTTTAGCCTCAGCCCAAACTTTGTCGCCATTACCAGCTGCTGTCTTAGCTCTCTCGAATTACACCTGTGATTGCTTTATGCCTCTCTCCCATGTCAATATGCCTTGCTTATTGCTGTTTCGGTTATTTCTTATTGTACTATTTCACTGTAGATCCCCCAGCCCTGCCTTAGATCGCTCCTTTGTCCCACCCCCAATACACGCGGAGACCGACTCAATCGGTGCCTCCAGTGATGCCATCTCTTTCATCGTTACCCAATGGTTAGGTTTACCTCCACTGTACTCATATCCTTCCATATCCTTTTCTGTACATAATGCCCTGAATCTATTCTACAACGCCCGGAAACCTGCCCCTTTTTTTCTCTGTACCCAACATACTAGAAGACCAGTACTTAAAGCCTTTAGCCATATCCTTATTCTACTCCTCCTCTGTTCCTCTGGTGATGTAGAGGTTAACCCAGGGCCTGTAGCCCCCAGTATCACTCCTACTCCCCAGGCGTTATCATTTGTTGTCTTCTGTAATCGTAAAAGCCTTGGTTTCTTGCACGTTAACATCCAAAGCCTCCTCCCTAAGTTTGAGTTATTCACTGCGTTAGTACACTCCGCCAACCCTGATGTTCTAGCAGTGTCTAAATCCTGGCTTAGGAAGGCCACCAAAAATTCTGAAATTTCCATCCCCAACTACAACATTTTCCGTCTCGATAGGAACTGCCAAAGGGGGTGGGGTTGCAATCTACTGTAGAGATAGCCTGCAGAGCTCTATTATACTATCCAGGTCTGTGCCCAAACAGTTTGAGCTTCTACTTCTAAAAATCCACCATTCCAGAAATAAGTCTCTCACTGTTGCTGCTTGCTACAGACCCCCCTCAGCCCCGAGCTGTGCCCTGGACACCATATGTGAACTGATTGCCCCCCATCTATCCTCAGAGTTCGTACTGCTTGGTGACCTAAACTGGGATATGCTTAACACCCCGGCCAACCTACAATCTAAACTAGATGCCCTCAATCTCACACAAATTATCAACGAAGCTACCAGGTACAACCCTAAATCTGTAAACATGGGCACCCTCATAGATATCATCCTGACAAATTAACCCTCTAAATACACCTCTGCTGTCTTCAACCAGGATCTCAGCGATCACTGCCTTATTGCCTGCGTCCGTAATGGGTCCGCGATCAAACGACCACCCCTCATCACTGTCAAACGCTCCCTAAAACACTTTAGCGAGCAGGCCTTTCTAATTGACCTGGCCCGGGTATCCTGGATGGATATTGACCTCATTCCGTCAGTAGAGGATGCCTGGTTGTTCTTTAAAAATGCTTTCCTCTCAATCTTAAATAAGCATGCCCCATTCAAAAAATTCAGAACTAAGAACAGATATAGCCCCTGGTTCTCCTCAGACTTGACTGCCCTTGACCAGCACAAAAACATCCTGTGGCGTACTGCATTAGCATCGAACAGCCCCCGCGATATGCAACTTTTTAGGGAAGTCAGGAACCAATATACACAATCAGTTAGGAAAGCAAAGGCTAACTTTTTCAAACAGAAATTTGCATCCTGTAGCACTAACTCCAAAAAGTTTTGGGACACTGTAAAGTCCATGGAAAATAAGAGCACCTCCTCTCAACTGCCCACTGCACTGAGGCTAGGAAACACTGTCACCACCGATAAATCTACAATAATCGAGAATTTCAACAAGCATTTTGCTACGGCTGGCCATGCTTTCCACCTGGCTACCACTACCCCGGCCACCAGCTCTGCACCCTCCGCTGCAACTTGCCCATGCCCCCCCCGCTTCTCCTTCACACAAATTCAGACAGCTGATGTTCTGAAAGAGCTGAAAAATCTGGACCCCTACAAATCAGCTGGGCTAGACAATCTGGACCCTTTCTTTCTAAAATTAGCCGCCGAAATTGTCGCAACCCCTATTACTAGCCTGTTCAACCTCTCTTTCGTAACGTCTGAGATCCCCAGAGATTGGGGGTGACACTCTAGATCCAAACTGTTATGGACCTATATCCATCCTGCCCTGCCTTTCGAAAGTATTTGAAAGCCAAGTTAACAAACAGATCACCGACCATTTCGAATCCCACCGTACCTTCTCCGCTATGCAATCCGGTTTCCGAGCTGGTCATGGGTGCACCTCAGCCACGCTCAAGGTCCTAAACAATATTATAAACGCGATCGATAAAAGACAGTACTGCGCAGCCGTCTTCATCGACCTGGCCAAGGCTTTCGACTCTGTCAACCACCGCATTCTTATTGGCAGACTAAATAGCCTTGGTTTCTCTAATGACTGCCTCGCCTGGTTCACCAACTACTTCTCAGATAGAGTTGAATGTGTCAAATCGGAGGGCCTGTTGTCTGGACCTCTGGCCGTCTCTATGGGGGTGCCACAGGGTTCAATTCTCGGGCCGACTCTATTCTCTGTGTATATCAATGATGTCGCTCTTGCTGCTGGTGCTCGGATCCACCTCTATGCGGACGACACCATTTTGTATACATCTGGCCCTTCATTGGACACTGTTAATAAACCTCCAAACAAGCTTCAACGCCATACAACACTCCTTCCGTTGCCTCCAACTGCTCTTAAACACTAGTAAAACTAAATGCATGCTCTTCAACCGAACGCTGCTTGCACCCGCGCACCCGACTAGAATCACTACTCTCGGCGGGTCTGACATAGAGTATGTGGACAACTACAAATACCTAGGTGCCTGGTTAGACTGTAAACTCTCCTTCCAGACTCACATTAAGCATCTCCAATCAAAAGTTAGATCTAGAATCGACTTCCTATTTCGCAACAAAGCCTCCTTCACTCATGCTGCCAAACATGCCCTCGTAAAACTGACTATCCTACCGATCCTTGACTTCGGCGATGTCATTTACCAAATAGCCTCCAACACTCTACTCAGCAAATTGGATGTAGTCTATCACAGTGCCATCCGTTTTGTCACCAAAGCCCCATATACTACCCACCATTGTGACCTGTACGCTCGTTGGCTGGCCCTCACTACATATTCGTCGCCAAACCCACTGGCTCCAGGTCATCTATAAATCACTGCTAGGCAAATCCCCGTCTTATCTTAGCTCGCTGGTCACCATAGCAACACCCACCCGTAGTCTGCGCTCCAGCAGGTATATCTCATTGGTCATCCCCAAAGCCAACACCTCCTTTGGCCGCCATTCCTTCCAGTTCTCTGCTGCCAATGACTGGAACGAACTGCAAAAATCTCTGAAGCTGGAGACTTATCTCCCTCACTAACTTTAAGCGTCAGTTGTCAAAGCAGCTTACCGATCACTGCACCTGTACACAGCCTTTCTGATATTAGCCCACCCAACTACCTCATCCCCATATTATTTAATTTTGCTAATTTGCACCCCTGTATCTCTATTTGCACATCATATTTTGCACATCTATCATTCCAGTGTTAATACTAAATTGTAACTATTTTGCACTATGGCCTATTTATTGCCTTACCTCCATAACTTACTATAGTCGCACACACTGTATATATATTTTCTGTTGTATTTTTGACTTTATGTTTTGTTTACCCCATATGTAACTCTGTGTTGTTGTTTTTATCGCACTGCTTTGCTTTATCTTGGCCAGGTCGCAGTTGTAAATGAGAACTTGTTCTCAACTGGCTAACCTGGTTAAATAAAGGTGAAATAAAAAAAATAAAAAAAGGAAGTGAGAACTCTAAACAGTAGTACACCTCTTGGCCAATCATAACATGTGGCCAGAACTAACCCTGTTATAATTGAGAGGTTGGTGTATAAGGACTTACTCTATCATAAAGGCAGGGTGTGCTGCATGGTTAGGGGCGGGGCCTGTGCGATGTCTCAGCCCATCAGAGCTCTCTACTGTGGAGGTTGATTGGCCATCTTGGCTATGGGAGGGGAGACTGGGGCTCTGACCCGTCTGAGAAAACAAACAAATAAGTTGATTATTTTACTTCTCTAACTCTACTTAACAAACTTTTCATTCATCAGGAGCTGTATGGATTACAATAGAGAGTAGGCCTAGGTTAGCCTGGTCCCAGATCTGTTTGTGCTCTTGCCAACTCCATAGCTCATTGTCAAGCCATTTTTGGCATGACAATGAGTGACAAGGTGTTGGCATGATAGCACAAACAGACTCAGGCTAGCCCTAGGTGTGCTGGGATGTTGAAATGAGTGGCAATGAACAGAGCAGTATGATGGGTGATGCATGCATAAGGGTAACTCACTGTGAAGCTTGTAGAGGGGACTCCAGGGGCCTTGTTACTGTGGCTGCTATGGAGCTTGGGGGAACCAGGAGGCGTGCGTGATGCACACACCAGGTGGACCATGTGGTACTCATCCTGCTGTAAGAGTCATCCGTGGCCATTAGCAAGGACAGCCACACTATTGCGTTGACAAAGTACAATCAGAGGAATCAGCTTGACTTTAAGAATGAGATCTAGGATGAATGCATACATTGCCGTAATCTCTGAACAGAATATCTATGTGAAGATGAAAGATAAGAAAATGAATGCAGCATACAGACCTTTCTGAGCACATCTTTCAGTATTAAGTGATCCAAGAGGAGCTTCCCAGAATACACCAGCCTCTGGTCTTTGAAGCTCTGCAATAAAAATCAGACAGTTGAGGACATAGAACAGCTGATTTATTACCTGACCCTGCTGGTCATCTATGACAGTCTTGAAAACGATCTGGCCTTAATGGCCACATCTACTCTTAAATCTCTACTCAGCACAGCCAGAAGAGGACTGGCCAACCTTCGGAGCCTGGTTCCTTTCTAGGTTTCTTCCTAGGTTCCTGCCTTCTATCAAGTTTTTCCTAGCCACTGTGCTTCGGTCTCTGCATTACTTGCTCTTTGGGGTTTTAGGCTGGGCATCTGTAAAGCACTTTTTGACAACTGCTGTTGTAAAAAGGGCTTTATAAAGTACATTTAATTAATTGATTTGATAACCCCTGAAAACAGGGGTTTTCCTTTCGCTTTCCTTCACTTTGGGTCCGGTGAAGATTGCCATTCACTTTCTTACATTTCATAAGAACATATAAGTAGTAGTGATTTAAATAAATAGAATAGCTTAGACTAGCCTCAGCTCCCAGACTGTGACGGATGAGACTTGGAAGGATGGCAACGCGAGACTAGCCTTACATGCTGACCACACCGCTCGCGTTATGTGCGCTGCAAAATAAATGTATACATCCATGTTATTCAATCATTTCATCCAAACTGCTCACAAGTCTGCGTAGCCAGGTGCTAAAATAGAACTTGGTTCTATTTTTTACGCTTGATGCGCTGCAAGTCCCGCCTCTCCCATCTCCTCATTGGTTTTTATGAGCATATACCCACATGGGTGATTGAAAGATGAACTGAGGTGCACACTCCAGTCCAGTTGGTGGTGGTAATACACCTTAAAGTTGGTTGCCAACCGCCATATAAAGTCCACAGAAGACTGAAGGAGAGATTACTAGAAACCAACTAGGTTTCCCCTTTTATCTGTGGATTAATTGTCAGAGTAGAGAACACACGATTTTGTGTGACTCATAATGGGTCAAAATTCTACAAAGAAAAAAAGGACCTTGTTCATTTCAGGTAAAATAACAACCCAATGTTTATATCCCAGGACAAATTAGCTAGCAACAGCAAGCTAGCTAAATGGCCATGAATGTTGCATGTGTTTAGACCTGTCCCCAAATTAATATAGTTGGTTCAGAGTTCGTTTCAATATTTCAACCTGCGTGTCCTGATCGCGTCTGGTGTGGATGGACAAAATTAACATTCACCGGTCTAGTCAGCATGTTAGACAAAGGGCAGTTGGAGATCACAAGATCAAACGGTTGATCCTAAGGTAACTGGAAAGGCCCACACCACTAGCTACAGTGCCTTCAGAAAGTATGCATATCCCTTGACTTATTCCACATTTTGTTGTGTTACAGCCTGAATTCATAATGACAAAGTGAAAACATGTTTTTAGACATTTTTGCAAATGTATTGAAAATAAAACACAGAAATCATCATTTACATAAGCATTCACACCTTTGGCAGTGAAATTCTTCAAGCTCCGTCAAATTGGATGTTGGTCATTGCTAGACACAATTTTCAGGTCTTGCCATAGATCTTCAAGTAGATTTAAGTCAAAACTGTAACTCGGCCACTCAGGAACATTCACTGTCTTCTCGGTAAGCAACTCCAGCGTAGATTTGCCCTTGTGTTTTAGGTTATTGTTCTGCTGAAAGGTGAATTCATCTCCCAATGCCTGGTGGAATGCAGACAACCAGGTTTTCCACTAGGATTTTGCCTATGCTTAGCTCCATTTAGTTTATTTTTTTATCCTGGAAAAACCTTACAGATAATTGTAAGATGAGGTAGTCATTCAAAAATCATGTTAAACACTATTATTGCACACAGAGTGAGTCCATGCAACTTATTATGTGACTTGTTAAGCACATTTGTACTCCTGTACTTATTTAAGCTTTTCATTTTTTATTCATTTGTAAAAAATTCCCTAAACATAATTCCACTTTGACATTGTGGGGTATTGTGTGCAGGCTAGTGACAAAATCTCAATTTAATCCATTTAAAAATCAAGCAGTAACACAACAAAATGTGGGAAAATAACAGGTGTGAATACTTTCTGAAGGCACTGTACATAGGGCAGTTTAGTTAATCGGATTGACAGGAGTTAGGAAACCAAGGATTAGGCTAGACATAGTAGCTGTAGTAGGGTAATGACAGCGCCAGTGGTAGCTTGCCATTTTTGAGTATACATTGCAATTCTTGTGATGTCAGTCCTACAGTAATGCTGAAATCTAAACCAAAATCGTATGTTTTCAACAGACTGTTTTTGTTAAGGCTCCGTCACCTGGTTAAAACTATTATGGTAAACAGTAATGAGATCGATGACACTAACCAGAGAAGTTGGAGAACAGACAACAGACTGATTACTAGACAAGAGTGCTGTTAAGTGTTCAGTGTTTACAATGATTACTGAGCAGGAACCGTAATTAAATCAGATTATAGGGGAGAACAAAGTAATCTCACTGCCCTCCTTCCAGCCTGACATCAAATCTACACACTTTCAAGCCAATACTATTTTCAAATATATGCTTAGCACAACCTTTCTTCATTGCTTTCTCCTCCTCCCACCTCTCTTTTTCCCCTAGAGTAGTTTGCCAAGGTGTGTTTTGACATTCCTTTGGATGCTGTGATGGGTTTAAAAATCTCATTCCCACTGGTAATAGTACATGTATTAACGTCTACATTTGTTTTTGCCACGTTTATTTTGTTAGACACCTTGATGCATACTTTTAAATTATATTATGTGAGCTAAACATAAAAATACATAATTTCTATAAAGTACTAATGTTACTGTCCCCACTACAATTATTATATATATATATATATATATATATTTAAATACATGTAATTCTGTCCTTGAAACATTTAATTGAAACATGAGGACTGCTTCTTCTGGGGAGTGCCAATATGGCCGACCGGTGGCTTCGAAGCTTCTCATTGGCCAATACATAGCATCAGCAATCCAGGGTTTATATACATAATTGATCTTAACAGACCTCAAGGGAAATGAAAACTGAGACTAATCTCACTGTATGTAAACCAGAGCCTACTCACCGGTTTACTGGGATATACATGTGAGATATGGGTTTTTAGTTTCTCCACTGTCCAGTTCAGGAAGCAGTTAATGGTCTGGTCATCATACTTCTGGTTGGGTGCCTTGATGACAAGGATAACAGGACTGTCGGCAACACCCTGGTCCATGTTTTAAACCACCTGTTAGTGTCCTCTTGGGAGTCTTATGGTGCCTTGCACATAGCCCAGATTTGTTGGGCTGGAACAACAGAAAGGTCTCTTCCAATGCGGAGGACTACAAAATGTTATCCATCTCCAGCTGCAAGATGTAACGTTAGCTTGTTAGCTAATACTTAGTCACAACATTGAAACGTGGAAAAAAAGATGAAAGACATTGTTTGGACACGTTTACACTGTGTTATGCAAGCGAAGTAGAATTGATTTACACAGACTAAATACCTAGTTAGCTATCTACGGTTTGTCAGATCAGAAAGTGGCAGGTATAATGAGGATCACCACTCTGAAAGTGCCTACTTAGGTAACTAACTACGGCTAATGAGCTTGTCATTTTATCTGGCAAGCTGAGCATTAGCATAGATAGTTAGCTACCAGCCTATGGTACAGCAGAGGTTTCAGCGCTAACGTTAGCTGGCTAGCTAACAACAGTTATCATTCTTGGTTATCCTCAACTGTCTGGCAACGCAGATGAGGTGAGGATGATCAGTCTCTCACAATGTCAGGCCGATAAAATGTCTTTACCCACCTTAGCTTCCAGCGACTGAACTTTAACTTGATCACCTTTAAAGATCAGTTACAAGTCCTTGAATATAATCTGAATATCCGACCAGTTTTTTCTGGCCTGCTAGCTAAAGGAAAGTGGAAATACGTATTCGTGTCTTAAACAGCTGTTCCGCCCACATCCGGAACTAGTATAGTTGAATCGAGAATCGCGTGAAACGAGTCTGAAAAACGGTAGCACATTTACATTATTTAGCAGACGCTCTTATCCAGAGCGACTTACAGTTAGTGCATACATTATTCTTTTGTATTTGTTTTTTGTATTTTTCTATTATTATTATTCTTTTCATACTGGCCCCCCGTGGGAATCGAACCCACAACCCTGGCGTTGCAAACGCCATGCTCTACCAACTGAGCTACCTCCCTGCCGGCCATTCCCTCCCCTACCCTGGACTACGCTGGGCCAATTGTGCGCCGCCCCATTGTCTCCCGGTTGCGGCCAGCTACAGCAGAGCCTGGATTCGAACCAGGCTCTCTAGTGGCACAGCTAGCACTGCGATGTAGTGCCTTAGACCACTGCGCCACTCGGGAGCATTTCGTTATGTGCTTGTATTTGTTGCTCGCTATATCATTTATACTGAACAAAAATATAAAAGCAACATGCAACAATTTCAAAGATTTTACTGAGTTAGAAAAAAAATAATACATATATATATATAATAATAATAATAAAGAACTGCCTTTGTATGGAAAGCCATCTTGTGTCCTTGAGGAGTACAAAAAAACAAACATGTATGCATTCACTAACTGTAAGTCGCTCTGTATAAGAGTGTCTGCTAAATGACTAAAATGTAATGTAAATGTTACAGTTCATATAAGGAAGTCAATCAATTGAAATAATTTCATTAGGCCCTAATCCAGGGGTGCCACTTTGGTTTTTAGAAGCTAGGTAAAAGATCATTATTAAATATGTTTAAGTGATTAATAAGAATGAACTAGGTAATTCAATAATAAATATTGTGTTGCACCTTTAACCAATAGCCTAACAAATGAACAACTCTTGAAAAAATATAAAGACTTTTGATTGTCATTATTAAGACATCCTCTATATCAAATTTCAGCCAGACCGACCAGCCAGCCCAAGCCGCCTGCACTCCTGACCCCCACCAGTCTAGTCAATAACTAAACTCTCTCCCAACACAAGTTCCTTCCCAGTTCACACCTTGAATTTGTTAAGTTCCCAAGGGAAAGGTTTAAAAAAACGAAACAAAAACACATATACCTCAAATATACATTAACACACAGAAAGAGCAAATCCTCCATATAATTAATCTATTTTTACTTGCACACAATATAGTTGGGTCGCCCCGTCTTGTATAGACAGGTGTGTACCTTTCCAAATCATGTCCAATCAATTGAATTTATCACAGGTGGACTCCAATCAAGTTGCAGAAACATCTCAAGGATGATCAATGGAAACAGGATGCACCTGAGCTCAATTTCGAGTCTCATAGCAAAGGGTCTGAATACTTATGTAAAAAAGGTATTTCTGTTTTTAATTTTATTACATTTGCTAAACTTTCTAAAAACCTTTTTTTCGCTTTGTCATTATGTGGTATTGTGTGTTGATTTTTAGTGAATCCATTTTAGAACAAGGCTGTAACATAACAAAATGTGGAAAAAGTCAAGGGGTCTGAATACTTTCCAAAGGCACTGTATCTCCCCTGACATGGGCATGTTTTCAATACAGACTCCTTTAGTCGTACTGTATTCCATATAAGGCATCCAGAACTTATGAATGTTGCCCCGTATACACTTAATCTGATAATAAATCAAAACTAGTGATACATAACTTGACATTGTGGGAGGATAACCAACCTTCCAATTAATGGCAATACATTTCTTAGCAGCTGTAAATGCTTGGTTACACAGTTTCTTCTGATAACAGTCTCCAGTATCAACATTTCCAAGCAAACAAAAATAGGGAGAAGGGAGGATCTGAAGACATGCTGAGATAAAATAACATACTCTTTGCCAGAATTCAGCCGGCCTTCACAAGACCATAACATATGCAAATATGTCCCTTTTTGTGTTTTACACCTCCAGCAAAGGAATTTCATTTCTGAGTGCATGTAATTCAGTTTCACTGGCATATAGTACATTCTATGGATGGTCTTAAACTGCAGTAATTTATGTCTGAGATGATATGAACATGACTGGGCATTCAAACATATCTGTATCCGTTCATCATCATCAATAGCTTCTACCAGGTTTTCCTCACATTTTTGTTTTACATGTTTTGTGTAATTGGGAAAAGACTCTATCAACCTTTGATACAGTTTGTATCAGACTGCCATAAAATACCATCTGGCTTGTCCAGTGTTTGCTGCACAGAGAGAATAAAGTGTTGTATCTGCAAAAATTCACCTCAGCTCCGTCACAGACTAGTCTTCCCTGGCTGCTTGACCCTGCCGAGACCCCTGTCACCATCTGATCCTCCTAAAATGAGGCATGACAAAGAATTACCTTGGTTTACATTTATACATTATTTTATCCAAGAATAGAATCAATGGTTCAATAATTGAAATTACCATTATTCCCAGATCCCAGACTGTAGCTTTAAGTTTAAGCTGATGTCCAGTAGCTACTGTAGGTCTACCCATCAATTCAAGATGGAACTTTGTATCATTCACTGATATTGTTAATATACTGCAAACTTCACCTGAGCTCCGTAGACTGGTCTTCCCTGGCTGTGTGGCCCTGTCACCATCTGATCCGGCTAAGACATGTTGAGCATAGTGTTGTGTACTGACTGTGCACTAGAGGGCTGCATTCCCAAGGGACCTGCGAGTCCAGACAGAGATCATTGCGGCATGTTCTGCGGGCAGGAGCGGGTGGTCAGACAGATGACTTTGTAATGAAACTCTTTAATTTTTGTTGTCCCACAGATTACTTGGAAACGGTCCTCTTTCTGCTTTGTATGCGTTAGCCTACCTATTGTAAAAGCACATATTTCTCGCATTATTCACACACTCAGAATTCGCTGCTTCAACTTCAGTAGCCTACCTCTCCTAGTTGGGCCTAGTATGTGTGGTCTCATTTAAATAGAGTAGGCTGCCTACATGGGCGAAGAATCACGTGGCAGTTAACTTACATATGAAATTAACTTAAATATGATTAGACTGTAGTTTACTACATTGTCTGTAAATAAATATTGATAATGGAAAGAAGTGGAGGGTGCTCAAACAACGTGAGTCGAAGTGCAATCAAAAAATGTAATCATCATTGAAAAGGAAAAGGCACAACGCACACATAGGTTAGGCTACTATATTGAGCGAACAGTGAAGTCCAAGAATGGAACAAAAAGTGCTAAAATTGTTGTGGAAAATGAGTCTGATGAATAGGTGCTTGTTGAAGTACGTTTTTTGGGTGCTCGTTGGAGCTTTGATTTTCGGAGCAGGGCACCGGTAAAAGCTGTTATCTCTAGTGTCCCGTTGGACATTGATCATCAATATCTTAGGATAAAAATTCCAGGAGTAGTTCATACACGTCACTTGACCCGTATGGAGAATGGGAAAAAGGAGAAAAGTTTATCTTTATTATTTATGTTTTTATTTTTAACCCCTTTTTCGCAGTATCCAATTGGTAGTTACAGTCTTGTCCCATCGCTGCAACTCCTGTACGGACACGGGAGAGGCGAAGTTCGAAACACAACCCAACCGAGCTGCACTGCTTCTTGACACAATGCCTGCTTAACCAGCCGTTCCAATGTGTCGGAGGAAATGCCATACTCCTGGCGACCGTGTCAGTGTGCACTGCACCCGGCCCACCACAGGAGTCGCTAGTGCGCAATGGGACAAGAACATCACTGCCGGCCAAACCCTCCCCTAACCTGGACCAATTGTGCGCCGCCCCATGGGTTTCCCGGTCACGGCCGGCTGCGACAGAGCCTGGACTCGAACCAGGCCCTCTAGTGGCATGGCTAGCACTGCCTTAGACCACTGCGCCACTCGGGAGGGTGACGCTGGGCCAATTGTGCACCGCCCCATGGGTTTCCCGGTCGCGGCCGGCTGCAACAGAGCCTGGACTCAAACCCGGATCTCTAGTGGCGTGGCACAGCTAGCACAGCTGCCTTAGACCACTGCGCCACTTGGGAGGGCTATTGTTGATGTTTGATGAGTATTTACCACCCTATGTAAAGTTGGGATATATAAGATACACCGTAAGAGTGTTCGTGCAAAAGTGTAAAAAGTTTGGCCATGTGTCAAGTGTTTGCAGATGGAAGGAATATGTTATTGAAGAGTCTGTGAATGTAAAATGTTGCAACTGTGGTGGGGATCATATTTCCACATTCCCTGAGTGCCCTGTTAGGGTGAAAGAGCTTGAGGTGTCAAGGATCAGGGCTGTACAGCAAATCTCCTATGTGGAGGTGGTGAAGAGAGTTGAAGGGGCAAGAGGCCACAGTTCTGAAGAAGATATGGCGGTGGATGCATCACAAGCAGTTGCAAATGTTATACGTCAATCAAGTGATCTGGATACACTTATTGTGAATAAGGTGGATTTTGTAGCATTTATAGCCACAGTTATTAATTGTACTGCACAAGTGTCCAAGAAGTCCAAGAAGCTGGACATCATTATATCTGCAGCCGAGAAGTTGTTGCGCCTCCAAGAGTTATCGGCAGTTTAGCTCAGAAAATGCCGCCCTCGTCAATCTGCTGCCGTAGGCGGCCGCCTGATCCTGCCTATTGAGCAAGCCGGCCGTGGCTTCTCAACAGCTTCTACCCCCAAGCCATAAGACTCCTGAACAGCTAATCATGGCTACCCAGACTTTTTACACTGCCCACCCCACCCCATCTTTTTACGCTGCTGCTACTCTGTTAATTATTTATGCATAGTCACTTTAACTCTACCCACAAGTACATATTACCTCAACTACCTCAACTAGCCGGTGCCCCCGCACATTGACTCTGTACCGGTACCCCACTGTATATAGCTTCCCTACTGTTATTTTATTTTACTTCTGCTCTTTTTTTCTCAACACTTTTTTGTTGTTGTTTTATTTTACTTTTTTATAAAAAAATTAATGCATTGTTGGTTAAGGGCTGTAAGTAAGTATTTCACGGTAATGTCTACACCTGTTGTATTCGGCGCATGTGGCAAATACAATTTGATTTGATTTGAT